ATGAATTGTATTTGGTTGGGGGTAGAATTTGATGTCCTTCGCCACCATTGCTTGGTCCTTCCGACATAATCCCGATTAGTGAAGTGTATTTGGCTAGTGATGGAATTTGATGTCCTTTGCCACTATTGCTTGGCCCTTCCTCACTAATTCATATTAGTGAAGTGTATTTGGCTGGTGGTGGAGTTTCATTTCCTTCGCCACCATTGATTGGCCCTTCCTCCCTAATCCCAACTAGTGGCATTTTTAGACCACCATCGATTGCTCCCGAATCCTTAATCCCTTGTGACAGTTGGTCGAATGAGCCTTCTTTCCTCTCATGATTAGTTCCAACAAATTCAAAGGGACCTAACGGTCGGGCATTGATTTCAAGAAAGGTAAAACTCAATAGTAAAAGAAGAATTGGAGCACCAAAACTTTGGAGTGTTGGAACTCTAGCCATTTTACAAGTGATAATGGTAGAGCTAACTGAGCTATTGCTTGATATGCATGCTAGGTTGGGATATGCTTATACCATTGTATCAAGAGTCTTTTTATAGTGACCTATGGAAAGCTTAAACAATGAACCTAGTTTAAATTACTTGGGATCCTCTTTTTCCACCCTTCCAACTTTGCATTTCATTCTTCACTTTCATAGAAATAAATCCAATTGTGACTTACAAATAAGTATATAAATTTCTCTAATACATATAAGTAGTGTAGTTAAATCGATATATTCCTCTAATACCACCAAAAGAATCTCAAACCTCTTGTATCCCCTACCACAAGAAGGAATTGAAAAAAAAAAAGAAAACTAATGAAAAGGGTTTGAAAATTTTGAGTTTTAAAGACAAGGACAAAATAAAGAATAAAGTGAATAGTACCAGGATTGACTTTTTGATATAAAAATGTGGTTTTTCGTTAAAATGAACAGTATCAGGAGTTTTTCGTTAAAGTCCCCTTGAAAAAATGGCGGACAATTGTGCCATGTTTTAAAGTTCATAAAATTTTGACTTTCAATGTAAAAAAGGAAGTATATAAAAAAAACCATGTGTAAATTAAGGAGTTTGTATTTCAATAAGAGAGAATTTGGATTGGATTTGGAGGCTCAAATCAAATGCATCATCACTTTTTTAGTTTAGTTTAATTGGGTAGATTTGGAATTAAATGAAATCCAATTAGAAATTAAGGAGTGTTGTAGGCTTATTTTATTGAAGAATTATAAAGAAAAGGAGGCCATCGACAGGAGAGAAAAGAGAGAATTAGTGAATTATGTGGTGTATATTATCTCACTCCATTGTGACATTATATATTGTAGAAAGGAAGAGAAAATACTTGTCTTTCAAGTAATACATTACAACTGCTAGTTAGTGCTATGATCTAGTGGTATTCCTCTTCATTTGTAAGTGAGATTTCTTAGGTTCAATTCTCACTAAAGGAGAATTCGAACCATATTATTGCTAGTCCATTGTGAGGTTTAGCCCACTCCCCCACCCCTTAGTGTAAATAATATCGTTAAAAAAAAAAGTAATACATTACAACTAGGAAACTATCTAAAAAATATTATAGAATCCCATAAGAATTTAGACAATCACATTCCAAATTAATTTAGGACTACAAAAATGAGCTAATATTCATGGATTGCTAAAATTTAGGGATTTTTTTTATGTTTTCAGAAATAGGGTCGTTGGTTGTTAATGAATCATGTTTTATGGCTTATTTACTAATCCATAATCAAAATGAGATGAATTGAATTAAGGAGTTGTAATAGGGTGGAATCAAAATCAGATTCATGCAGAAACAATTTACTAAAATTTCAAGAATCAGTTAATTTGCATGAATTATAATGAAAATCAGTGTGATCACTAAAACGCCTCTATTCTAGTAATCTATTTTATATGCTAAATTTTTTGGTAAAATTTTATTTTAACCTTGTGAGGAAAACTTTAATTCTTTTTATTTTTCATTTTTTGGCTAAGAGAACACAATTTATTTTTCATTTTTTGGCTGAGAGAACACAATTGGTGTTGGATTAATGCGAAGGTAATCTTGTAATTTAATAAATAAGTGAGGGCATAATAAGAGGAAAAATCTTCTCCCAATAACTCAAAAATCAATTTCTACCAAATTTTAGAGAATCTAAATCCTCCAAATTTTGGAGTTGTATTCCGAAATTTGGGATTTTAGAAACCCTACCCCTATATAACATATGGGAAGAAATTTATAAACAAAGAAGGTTGCAAAGACAACATTTTGTAACCCCGTGTGAACCGTCTTATCTGTTTGCCTTCAAATACCTTCTCAAAATCGACACGGTTGCTGCCATGGCTAATGGAGCCTTGGCTTGCCAAAATGGGTGGAGGTGTAATTTGGATTGAGTTTGGAATCTAGTCATATCAGTTTAGCATAGGAGGGAATGCTCTTAGAGGTAGAGCTCTAACATGAAATTTATAAAATGTGATTTCTCTTATATCACCCGTTATATGATGGAATTGGGGTTCTATCATAAAACCAATTAGCAATATGAGGAGTAATCCAAGACCATATAAGCCACTAGTAAGGCTTGTCCCTCACCTGATATGGGACAAACTGTTCCTCACATTTCAACTCTTAACACGCCCTCCCTCCTCACATTTCAACTCTCAACACCCCCCCCTCCCCCCATATGTGATCAATTTTCAAGCCTACATGTGGACATTAAGTGGGTGATGCGTGAACACATGTGGCCCTTGAGCTTTCACATGAGAGACAACCTGCTCTGATACCATGATGAAATTGGAGTTTCACCATAAAACCAATTGGTAATATGGGAAGTAGCTCAAGACCATATAAGCCACTAGTAAGGCTTGTCCCTCACCGATGTGGGACAAATTGTTCCTCACATTTCAACTCTCAACATTATAACTCCCCAAGTTTCCATTACCTTGGTTCCTTCGTTATTAACTAGGGTTTGATGCAAGTCAATGGGGAAGCTACTCAAGGACCAGTATGTTCCCTGACCCATACTGCCTTTTTTTTTTCTTGCTACTATAACAGATGATGTTGCTGCATGTCAATCTAGTACCCTTAAAATTAAAGGAAAACTAATGAAAATGATTTGAAAAGTTTTAGTTTTAATAAAAAATAAAAAAAAATCGTGTTATAAGTTTTGTTTAATGATTAGTACAAGACCCATATTAAAGTAATTCAACTAAAAATGGCTCAATTATAATAAATTATGATTTGTCAATTTTACCCCTAACTTTTTTAGGTTGATTCCAGATTTTCGTCGTTAATGGAGTTCATCGTTGTTTTGCAGACCTTCTTCTTTTTCTTTGAAACAAAAATATAGATCATCATGCTATTTAATTTATATTTTGTATTATTTAGTTAAAACGTGATCGTCGTTATTATTCATAAAGTATTCAAGGTACTATTTTTCAATTTTTCTTTGTTAGTGGAGTTCATCGTTAGTTTCTCCAAAAAATAAATTTGAGATATGCATTCAATAATAACAACGGGTCACTGTTTTTGGACTGTAAATATAAATTGTTTCTAGATTTTAAGTAACACTGTTTCTGGAATCTAAGTTATTGTTTCTGAAATCTAAGTCATTGTTTCTAGATCCAAATGAAATAGACACCCTGTTCCTTAAATGTAAGCTATAAAAGAAATAGTGAAATTCGTTGTATTTTGATTCAAAGCAAAATAAGTATCCTGTTTTTTAAATATAATCAACTGATGCATGAAAGAAAGAAAAACAATCAAAAGTTAAAATATAGACTTTTCTGGATTTTGGTTCTTTTCTTTCCAGATACAGTGTTTGTTTGTGCACAAAAAAAAAAATAAACACTGTATCTGATTATTTTTTTTCTTCCAAACACAGTGTTATATTTTGGATTCTCCAAAAACTGTTTTATGTTTTGGTTCTTTTATTTTTTTTATTTTTTTTTTCTATTTATAGACATCTGATATGTACGTACATCACCGAGACCGTAGGTCCTTATTGGATCTAATTGGAATAAAATACTAACACTATAAATTGTTCGTGGTGCAGATAAGAGGATGAGGACGATGACGAGGAAGACGAGGATAAGGGCACGAAAAAGGTAGACAATAGTTTTGAATGATTTTTTATTAAACCTTGAGCCATTTTGATTAAATAACATTTTAGGATGGTTTTTTTAGTTAAATATTTGTTGGTCCAAACCCTTTTCATTAAAGCTCCCTAAAATTAAAGTGTGTTCTCAGTCCGAATTCTTTTCCATTCCAGGCAGACCTCATTTTTCTCTTCATCCCTCTTATTACAGCATAGTAGTATTCACTTCCTCTCCTTATTCTTGTTTTCTTTGGCTTTAACTTTATTAAAAAAATAAAAAAAATAAAAAATAAAAAAGACAAACGACATTATATATACTAAAAGATTGAGGGAGTAGGTTAAACCTCACAAGGGGCTAACAATAATGAAATTCAAATTCGTCTTTGACAAGAATCGAACCTAAGACCTCCCACTTACAAGTGAAGAGAAATACCACTAAATTGTAGTACTAATTGGCAACTTTTTATATACATTTCTTGCTTATTATTTACCTCATATTCTGGTTTTGGGGTTTGTGCAATGTTTAGTTATCTCTATTGAATTTAGGGTCTTTCAATTTTTATGCAAATTATTTCAATCTCCCATGTTCTGAGTTTCAAACTACCAGTGTATGTTAGAGGCCCTCCTATGCATGAAATCCTAGCTCTGCCACTGATATTAATCTTCAATAGGCACTTTTAATACAATATAATATGAGATTATATTTTTTTATTAACAAACTTCTTTTTACCTTTCACACACACATCTGTCACTTTCCGGCCATCGAATCAAATTAATTGAAGAGTATCAAATAACATAAATTAAGAGGGAGTGGGTGGAACGTAAAAAGAGGTGCATGGATAGCAACGCCCTTAACACATCATTAGTGATAGCTTTGGTGGATATTGAGATTATGAAATTTTAGCCAATGAAACAACTGATCAAAACCAAAAGTGGCTGATGAAAATTTGACTGCAGAACAGATGAAAAGGGAATTTTTGATCAAGGAATTTCATACATGCAGATGCAGGCCTTTATACTAATTCTACTAGAGCCTGCTTTTCTGAAATTCTATTACGAGATCCGGATGTCCGAAATCATAAGGGAAGAGGTATATTTTAAGCTGCGAGGCAGTTGTACGACATTACAACACAAACATGTATTCTATACCACTAGTTTCTGTTATCTGCAAGATAGGCCAAGCTACAAGCTTCGGTTCTTGATCATCCAGATTGAGACGGCTCTGTCTGCTTCTCGGTTCCTTCTGTTTCAAACTCTTTGTAGATGAAACGTTTAGCGATCCACACATAAATCAAAAAATTAACAGTGCTTAGTGCAGCAATTACCCAATAGAAGCAATCGAGGTGGGCACGATTGATATTGTCACTAAGCCATGTTTCGCCATGCTTTGAGCCAATTACTTGCATCACAGTTATTATACTACTGCTCACGAAGTTTCCAGCACCTGTAACGCTGAGGTATGCTGCTGCTCCCATGCTTCTCATTTCCTCTGGCATTTGATCGAAAAAGAACTCTTGGATTCCAACCAATGCAAATGCATTATATAAACCGCATACCATGTACTGTGGAATTAACCACCACACTCTCATTGGCACTATTGTTTTCGGGTTGTCCAAGAGGTTGTGTTCTCTTGCAATGCTAACCCTTTTCACTTCCACCAAACCTGACACAACCATGGTGATTATGGACAGAAATAGACCAATGCCGATTCTTTGTAAGATGGTGATGCCAGAGGACTGCCCCGTGAATTTTCGGGCAGTTGGGACAAAAACACGATCGTAGATTGGAATGACAACTATAACTGTCAGGCTAACAAAGATTTGAAGTGATGCTTCGGGAAGCATAAAGTTTGAACCAATTGACTGGACCATTGTGCTTCCTTGCTTGGTGAAGGTGGTCTGGAAAAAGGACTGGACTACAGCAAACATTAAGCAACACATCCATTCGGGAATCAGGCGTAGGATGAGCTTTACTTGTTCTACTTGATTTTGTGAGCATAATCTCCATGGATTTCTGGTCATGCATGAAGCATCATGGTCGTCAACGATCATTGCCTTGTCCAAGCATCTAAATTTTTCAACGAGTAAGAAAAAGGAAAGCCAGAAAAATCTTAGTAGAACTACCAAGAGAAAAAGAACAATAGTACCTGAATTTCCCTATACGCAATACAGATTTAAATAGGGGTGTGACCCTTTAAATATTGTATAAAGTTTTGGAAAGGCAACATATAAAATTCCATTTGGATTTTATGACAATGCTGTTTTGTGTTTATAAAATTATACCTAATGGAAAATATATGTCTTTGGATTATGGTGGCATGTTAGACATACCTGAACTGACTGGTATGCGCCAAAGTCCTAGTCTCATGTTGACTCTTGTCATCACTGTGCACAACAACACCAGCGGGTGTTCCATTGACGCGCCACTTCCTCGCTGCCGCCACAAACACCTGAGCCACCGAGGTGAAAGGGCTGCCTAAGGGTCCCTGCCTTCTGTACTTCTTGTAACCGAACAGGAACAGAACCAATGCGACCGCCATCGCCCCTGTCAATGTTCCAAACCCTGCCGCCCACCCAACATAATCCTACACCAAGGGTAAGCATAGTGACAAATTCAATACGTAAATGACTACAAACTCAATCGGACGCCAAAGTTTTTGAATTTTTACAATATCCTAGGAACTATTTTGACACAATTGAACTAACACAACTTTAGGGTCACCATAATTTTAATTCATATTAATCAACAAAAATGTGCATTGGTAATGGATGAGTTAACAGGACATATTCAAGATGATAATTCTTGATGTATGCTTTTCGCAGACAATATAGTGTTGATAGATGAAACTTAGGAAGGAGTGAATGCGAAGCTTAACCTTTGGAGAGAAGTGTTGGAATCTAAAGGTTTTCGCCTAAGTTGGTCAAAGACAAAGTATATGGAGTACAAGTTCAGTGCGAACGGAGGCCCAAATGAGTTAGGGGTAAGGATTAGAGATCAGGAAGTACCAAAGAGCGATCACTTTCGCTACATAGGATCTATCTTGCAAAAGAAGCTGGATGGACGAAGTGGAAGAGTGTATGGGGTGTGTTGTGCGACTGTCGTATGCCACTAAAGCTCAAGGGAATATTTTATAGGACAGTACCAAGGCTAGCAATGCTTTATGGCACAAAATGTTGGGCGGTGAAGAATCAATACGTATATAAAATGAGTGTAGCAGAGATGAGAATGCTTCGATGGATGTGTGGGCACAATAGAAAAGATAAAATTATGAATGAGGATATCCGAGGTAAAGTATGAGTAGCCAAAATTGAAGGAAAGATAAGAGAAAATTTGTTAAGGTGGTTTGGACATGTGAAACGAAGGCCTACAGACGCTCCGGTTAGAAGATGTGATTACAAGATAGAGGTTCAGGGCCGAAGGGATAGAGGAAGATCTAGGAAGACTTGGAAAGAGACTCTAAGAAAAAACTTCGAGTAATTGGATCTAACGGAAGACATGGCACATGACCTGAGCGCAATGACGTTATAGAATTCATACAGCCGACCCCACTTAGTGGGATAAGATTTTGTTGTTGTTGTTGTATTAATCACCAAAAAAGTTCATCCGATTTCTTATTTGTTGTAAATAAATGAGGTCCAGAGTCAACTCACATAATAGAAAATTAAAAAAAAATTCACAGCTAGGATTCAAAATTTTGGGACTTGTTATCTTTATGTACCATTGCTCTGAACTAATGCTAAATGGACTTTGAGTTATACCTGGCTAAACTTTGAGAAAAAAAACTCTGCTTGTGCATGTAAATAAGATCAGAGGAAGAGTCTGTTGACCTGTAGATATATAACTACCAAAATGGCAACAGAGGCGCCAATTACGATCCCCAAGAACCACCAGTTGAAAAATGAGCTCTTCGCCCTCTTATCCCGCGGCGTGTCTTCACGAAACTGGTCAGCTGCAAAGGTTTGTACACATGGTTTGTGCCCTGCTAGCCCAATTGATAATATGTAAAGCGCAACAAAGAAAATTGCTTGATAATGCAGAGGGATTACTGCCACTGTTATGGTTAATAACATCATTGCCTGCAAGACACGAAAAGAAAAACAATCATGTTATGAAAACAAAAGGGTAATAACACTAAGGAAACCTTTGAATTTAACCGTTCCAAGAGGTAAATGGTCGATGAAACGAGGATGGTATTGAATCGACCAAGAAAGGCTTCAGCTATGAAGGCTCCGAGTCTTGGGAGGAGAGATGAAACTCCAACCCAAGTGTTGACATTCTTTACAGCTATGGGAATCGGCTCATGGAGTTCATTTGTGAGGTATGTGATGAGGTTACCCGCCATGCCAAAGTAAGCAAATCTCTCTGCCACCTCAACAACTGAAACAACAAAATATTTAAATGAAAATCACATATATAAAAATAAAAAAAAATCAAAGAAGACTGGCAGCTTACAGATGATGAATATGGCAGCACTCCAGCCACCTCTGGAATCGGAACGTTCTTCTCGGCTGATGGGATTCTTCTCTGGGTCTTCATTGTCAGAGCTAGCCATATAAAATTGCTGAATAAAATTGGTTTTTTGTTGTGTACTTTTGTCAAAGATTGATCCTGCAAAGATAACGATCTTACCTTTTCGTGTAGCACAGATAATAAAGCAGCATATACATACCAGTAACTGTTGGTTGGAAAAATAAGCCTGACATTCTTTGGGTTTAGTTCAAGAAAAACCCCACGTAACATTTCTTCATAAGGTAACTAAAACAGATTCAACTGATTCAGTCAAGTAATTAAATGACTTTGACTGAAAAAAAAAATGTAATTAAGAAAGAAATTAAAAGACATTAACTGAAAATAAAACTAAAGCAGATTTAACTAATTTCCCTGGGCAGTGCACACAGAAGAGACGTCAAAGTTTGAGGTTTTGCTGCTGCTGAAATGTTCATTTTTATTGTTTAAAAAAACAGATGAAATAACATTACAAAGAGCATCCTCTACAGTTCATATTAGTTTCTCTATCATGTGATTAATCGCGTAGTTGGAAAGGTTTCTCTCAGTAGTGGATTCTCAAACTTAGCGTTTCCCTTTGATGAAAGTGGGTAAATTTTATGTGGTAGATTCTCAGTAGTGGATTCTCAAAGTTCACGCAAGCTTCAATTTGCCAAAGCAGTTTCTGAGATTCTATTTTCTTTTTTAATGAAAGTTTTTGATTCTGCAAGAATGGAATATGAGATTCTATTTTCTACTTAACGAATCACCAGAGATCATTGCGTTAGATTTTGTAAGCTGTCCAAGGGGGTGCACGCTCTTGTCTCCATTCAAGTCTCAAGATGCGTAGAAGTTAGAACAGCTGCCTAGGTCTGCGCCGTTGCTATACTGAAAGCACTATATTTACATTCTTCTAAATTAACGATGAACAGTTTTCCTGTGAAGACGAAATATGTGTGATAGAATTATGCTATCACGGAAACTAAATACTCAGCCAGTTGACCGGTTAGAGAGACAACGAGAAGTAAAATAAAACCAGTATGCAATTGATCGCTGTATACTATTTTCATTTTCGTTATATTTACAACAATCATAGTATATGTTTTGCAGCTGTAAACTAAAATCTAACTTTTCAGTGAAATCAGAATGTATCTGCAAATTAAGAGTCCTATCAACAAAATAAAGTTTCTCACACCTGTAATTTTCGTCCACCTCTCTGAGTCTGAGCTTCAGACTCCAGCTGATGAACCAATTGGTCTTTTCGTACAGAACTTACAGTTAGAATTTTGGTACTATGTGAAAGGCAGAGAGACGCTGCAACTCGGTAGCATGTCCTTGCAACAGGATTCAATGGGACCTTGAAAATAGCAAGCCCGCGGCCCATACCTAAATTAAAGTTAACTAAAAGATGACAATTAACATAACTGAGAATGGAAGGTGCAACAATTTAGGACAAAACTAACAAGAAAAGCGAAATGACTTTCACTACATAAAGACAATTAAAACTGCACCAGAGAACTAGAGTAAAATAAAACATAAAATTGAGCAGAGAACAAAATGACAATAGAAATTGTTATTAACCTTGCTGCAAGATGATGTGCACGGTACAAGAGTAGGTCACATTGGCGGTAAAAATGAAAATCTATCTTCTTTATTGAACTCGAATGATTGAATCAATTACAACAACATAATGTTCTTTGCTCTTTGCCTACAAAACAAGCCTAAATCATCTCTGGATGCTCTGAGGTCAAAATCATCATTTCAAATATATGCAGTTGTTGTCAATTAGTTCATCTACTTCCCGCAACCACTATGCTAAACTCTCCTGCAATCATTTTCTTTAACAACATTCTGATTTGCATAGCATGCACTATAGAACCCAACTGTGACCTATCCTTGCCTCCTCTAGATCCGTCAGGTGCATTCGTATCTAGTTGATATAGATTAGTTGATCTACTTCTTGCAACCACTATGGTATGTCCTCCGAAGCCGTTTCCCTTGACCACCTTCCTATCTGCATTTATCATGGACTATAAGATCCAACTCTGACCCATCTGTGTTCCCTGTTGATCCCTCAGGTGCATTCAAGTACACAGCACCTTTATACATCCATCCCTTGGTCTCATGACTATAGAAATCGTCAAAACATTCGCCACATAACACACACCAAATCTGATCTTCATCAGCAGGAACAGCGATTTCTTCATCAGTAGCCTTCTTTTCCACAGTGGTCTCAGCCTCGGCACTAGTTTCAAATCCTAACCCTTTGAGGCTACCATCACGATTGCGTTTTCTTCGGCATTCATATGCAGGTGCTGTACAAGTGGTGGAAAACCCTAACCCTATCCCTACCTCTTTGAGGCTACCATCACGATTGCGTTTTCTTCGGCATTCATAACTGGGTTCCTCATATCTCCCACCGATTGATCCTCCACCAAGTCTGTAACCAAACACAGAATCAGATGGAGATGGAGATGCCCTCACAGTTACAGATAACATATTCGAAATCAAAATTGAAATCTTACAGTTGAGAAAGCAATACGTAATTATAGAGTGATTATTCTAAATCAACGAGAGAAATCAAATCAAACCCTACAATCGATAATCAAATACCAATTCTACAAGAAGGAAATTGGATATTCTAATTAACAAGTAATATAACAGGAAACCCTAAATCAACGAGTAAAATCAAACGAAACCCTAAAAGCTAGCCCAAAATTACATAACGAAATTCAAAATTCAGAACATATCTTGGTCTGTGGTTGGATCGATCTCGATGAAATCGTCGACTCGTGTGTCTCGGCACAAAATGGGCGGCGACGGCGGAGGCAGAGGAATCGAGAACCAAGGCCGCTGGCGACGTCGTTTATGGCGAGCGAGGAAAAAGCAACGAAGGAAATCAATAATCACAGAGAGAGAGAGAGATGAAGTACGCGCTTTTTTTCTGCTGGCTTCGCTTTTGGTATATAGCCTAGTAACGGTAACTTGAAAGAAAAAAATTGAATTTTTTTTTTTTTTAAAGAACTTGAAAGGCTCTTTGTTATTTTTATGGGTAACCCTTTATTCTTTAAGTTTAGTTGCAACTACAACATCATACATTTTCAATAATTTTAATTTTATACATAAACTTGTATTTTATTACAATTTCATATCTTCATTAATTAATTCGTCAAATTTCATACGCTCATTAATTTTTGATAAATTTTATTTGAACCCAAATTATATCTTTTTACGAACTATATTTTTATTCTTTCTAAACTAATATTTTTCTCTACACCCAAACTTTTGTATCCATACACAACCCTAGTTAATTACAATTTCACTTGATCCCTCAAGAGGGTACCTAGGTAATCTAGGTCCAACCTAGCTGCAACCGCAAAATCAAACAAAATGAAACAGAACGTGACGGAATGGAATGGGATAAAATAGAAGTTCCATACTATGTTTGGTATGCGAATGGGATAGTTGTTATGTTTTGCGTTGGTACGTGCAAGCGGAATGGAACGAAAAATTAAATGACAACATACACATGATTGTCTGTCAACCCCATCGACTCAACCCCATTTCTTTCAAAGCGATGGCAGATCCGTCATCGTCGCCAGAGCACGATGGTAGATCCGTCGTTGTCGCCGGAGCTCTGTACCTCACCACCTCGCGCGCCACCACGTGCTTGTACTTCATTTACGATAGCATCATCTCTGCAGGATCGGAGAGTCCGACTCCAGGGACCAAATCCTTGCTACTTCTTCACGGACATTCGGGCGCAAGTCAAACAGCGTCCCAAGGACCAAATCCTTGTTGTCTTAATTAATCGTGTTGCGTCGACCTACTCTCGATTTTAATTTTCACTCAGTTGCATCTTCTCTGTCAAAACTATCTCTCTCTCTCTTGGTCGTTCTGCCACCGACACTCGACTCACCACCTCTCTCCTCTCCTTTCAGCCATATGGGTAATGCTTTGTGCAGGTTTTGTCATACCTTCCAAATTGTTCTACCAATTTAAAAAGTAAGTCATATTCTATTCCCTAAAGAGTTGGAATTTGTGGTGCAACTGCTGCAAATCATCTTGTTTTTGAATCAGGGATCTACAAATTGAGGATTTGGGGATCTATCTTTGTCTTCCCTTGATTTGGGGATCCCGCAATGCCGAAATTTTTTCGAGAATATCGAAATTTTGGTTCGATTTCGATTTTCAGAATCTCGTCCCGAAAGAGGTCGGTTTGGAATTCGGTTTGTGCTTTTCAGTTTAGGATCTCGTCCCAAACCATCCCTATTTATATCTTCTTATTGACTCTAACTTTGTTTTTGAGTTATGTTATGAAATAATGTGTGAAAATACTTAATACTTTAGGTTTAGGGAGAAAAATATGGTCTTTGGTGAAAATTTTGATATTTCGATATTTAATAATCTGGATCATAATTTCATTTTTTTAATTATTTTAACTTATCTTGTCCTTCACACGCAGTTGAATGAGCTTGTACAACAATGTGCGCTCCTTCTTCCTATTTAGAAAGGATCCAAGAGCCTAGTACAAAACACTATGGTAACTTGCTTGCCTAGTGCTTGCACTAAGGTTCTAAAAGAAAAACTAAGCATGAGAAAAAGATAGGTCATAAGCTTGTGTTCTCGATCGTCCAGATTAAGTCCGTTCTTTCTCCTTGTTGGTTACTTCTGCTGCAAACTTTTTGTATACAAAATGTTTAGCAATCCACAGATAAACGCACAAGTTCAAAGTGCTCAAAGCTGCAATTACGCAATAAAAGTAATCGAGGTTGGCAAGATTGATGTTGTCACTAAGCCATTTTCACCATGCTTTGAGCTAATCGCTTGCACCAGGGTTATTATACCGCTGCTTATGAAGTTTCCGACACCATTAACGTTAAGGTATGCTGCTACTCCCATGCTTCTCATTTCCTCCGGCATTTGATCGTAAAAAAATTCTTGGATTCCGACCAATGCAAATAAATCAGATAAACCGCATACCATGTACTGTGGAATTAACCACCACACTCTCATTGGCACTACCGCTTTCGGGTTGTCCAAGAGGTTGTGATCTTTTACAACGCTAACTCTTTTCGCATCTACCAAACCTGACACGACCATGGTGATTATGGATAGAAATAGGCCAATGCCGATTCGTTGTAGGATAGTAATGCCAGAGGAATGTCCCGTGATTTTTCGGGCTGTTGGGACAAAACACGGTCATATATTGGAATCACAACTATAACCGTGAGAAAAACAAAGATTTGAAGTGATGCTTGCGGAAGCTTGAAGTTTGAACCAATTGAGCGGACCATTGTGCTTCCTTGCTTGGTGAAGAAGGTCTGAACAAAGGATTGGACTAAACCAAACATCAAGCAACATGTCCATACCGGAATGAGGCGTAGGATGAGCTTTACTCGTTCAACTTGAGTTTGAGAGCATAATCTCCATGGATTTCTGGTCGTGCTTGAAGCATTGAGGTCGTCAATGATCATTGCCTTGTCCAAGCATCTAAAGTTTTCAACTAGTTAGACAAACCATGTAGGTCATGTATGCATAAATG